CGCACCGATCCCATCCAGCTCCCCAAGCAATTCCCGGTTTCCATCATTGTTGTCCTGGAGGAGGATGGCCGGCACTTCACTGCAATGCAGTCTTTTGGCATCAAAAGGCATCTTTGTCTTCAGCCTCTTCAGCAGCCACTGCAGGAGTCCCTGCTGGGCAGCCTCCGTACACGTCTCAGGCCGAAACTCAGCCATGTTTTCTACGATAGCCAGAGTGTTGTGGACACCATCCGCCTCCTCTCGCAGACTCATCCAGGCGCGCCAGGTTCTGCTCCAGCAGTGCTACCAGCTGTCCGTCCACCAGAGCGTTGGTGAGATCTTCTGCTCCCTCTTCGCTCTCATGGAGGGTGTCTATATCTGTTAACTGCTGAAGTAAGTCAACCACAGCCATGGACACATCTGTGTTATTGTGTCCCAGCAGCCAGAGAAGACGGCACGGTGTTCAGCTCAGCAGAAGGCGGTACAGGTCTGGCATAGCGGCCACCATGTTGCATCTCCTGAATGATGTCATTTAGGTCCAGCTCAGATTCTATGAACTTCTCTGGGTTGTCTGGGAATTTGATTTGCACTCTTGATTTTTGTATGACCTCTTTTCAAATGTGAGGATCATTTTCTTCACTGAGATTTCATCCAATGGTTCCTCATCTTCCTCTTCCTCTTCCTCTTCCTGTTCCTTTTTGCCTTCTCTGGCAATAATCTGGAGCAGCCTTTTTTGGTCGTCATCTGCTTCTTCAGCCACAGTCACTTCTTCCTAGTAGCAGCCCTGTTCTGAGGACCAGCTTGTTTCCGATATGTTTTCTGTTCCTCTTCCTCCTCCTCTTGGGTCACTTTGTGCCCAGGTCTGGCTGACAGCTTAGAAGTTCACCCACATCCGTGTTCCTGGCCCAGTCACTACTGGGCACCCTTGTTCCCTTCACTCACAACCAAACCACGGGCTGTTCAGCAGCAGTTCCAGCCACACTGCCAAAAAGTGCATTCTAAAACACAAAATACTGTCCCTGGTATTTGATCCTATTTCAGCTTAGCCAATAGTTACAAGGTTACTTAGAAATAATTACTTTAGGGCCTCCCAAATAGCTCAGCAGATTAAAGTGCCTGCAAGTGAGCCCCGAGCCTGCCTTGCTAGCTCGGACCCCCGGGCACGCTGAGATGGCAATTGAGACTGGGCGTGGTGGCGCGTGCCTGTAATCCCAGCTCTTGGGAGGCTGTAAACAGGTGGATCACTGAGTCTGATCTACTAGTGAGACCCTTAACACCCTGTAGGCCCTTCTCTAAAATATAAAATAAAATAAAATAAAATAAAGAAATAATTACTTTATTGTATTTTACTCAATTTGCAGTTTGAATAAACAAACTGGGGGAAAACTCGATGCTGGAAAGTTGAGAGTAAGAAAAATAAATTAGACATCATCATCAAGGTTATGAAGGAGGATATTCTGGATAAGTTCGTATTCTGCTTACTGAAACAACAATTTAAGGGAAAGAGAGATCATTGGTTAAAAACAGTTTTACTTTGACCTAATCTCATTTTTTTCTATGTATTTGAAAACTTCAGCCCATTTAACAACTGTATAAGGGTAAAAAATAATTTAACAATGAAACCACCTTTGACGGGATGGCCTGTAGAAGGGAGATCTGGGTGAACATTCCGGGGTGTTGGGATGGCTTTGTTCCACGTGGTCCCGTGGAGCCCATCTTGGTCTACCCCATCCTGTCTGCTCATGGGCTCCCCTGTGCTTGGCTTGTGCGCATGAGAGAGAGAGTACACTGAAGCAAGCAGACGTCTTACTTTTTGGTGGTTCCTGGAAGTGTTATCCCTTTGGTGAGAACCTAGTCAGTCCCCTTGACATATCTGCATGCAAAGGAAGTTGGCACTGTAGTCTGTAGGTGGGTGTTCACAGGTGCCACTTGAACCCCAGTGCCATGGAAGAAAGGCAGAGCAGATTCCCATGGGTGCCCAGGAGTTCTCTGATCTTTGCAAGATCCTCTAAGAAAAATGCTACACTGCTGAGTTTGGACTCTTGACTCCAACAACTGTTAACATGTACTAAAGATCCAACTGCAGAAAAAGAGAAACAGAGGGCAATCTATTCCAAATGGATACAATAATAACTTGTGTTATCTTTCTGCATTAAATAAACACATTTGAATAGGAGACGATGCATTAAAAGACAAAGGAAAGTCAGTTGATTTACCACGCCTCCACCCAAATGAAAATAAGGTCACCCTTGATTCTGAGAAGTTCATATAGGAAAGGGAAAGAATTCTAATTAGGATTAAGAACATTATCTCTCTCCAAATGTCTGCAAGCACGTAATATTGGGTCTGTCTATGGCTATACCTATAATTTTGCAGTATGATTTTTTTCTTTAAAGGAGTAGACAATTTGGTAAACTGATAACTAATTTAGATAAGGCTAATTGTGTTGGGTGAGGATGATTAGGAAAGTTATAGAGGAAACCTCAAGTGTGCTGTGCATGGGATACTCCTGGAAATGCGAATATTGTAGGAAGCTTCATCGGTCTCACAAAAGGGAGATGATTTCTGGAGGTGCGTGTGTTGCGCAAAATAGAAGAGGAGGAGCTGGGGAAGGGTGGAGGACTGACCCTGGTACACTCTGGACTCCCTTGGTAATCTCCTTCTGTGAAGGGTCCATGTGTACTTACGTGTGTGTGTGTGTGTGTGTGTGTGTGTGTGTGATCTAATTGTATCATCCGTCTTTACAATCACACTACGTTTTGCATGCAGATTACCAGCACAAATTTATCACTTCCTTCTTAGTGAAATACAAATAGCTCTGAGCAGTGAGTAAACCCCCTTGATATTAACTATACACACAGATTGCTACCCTAAAGTGTTGTGGGGCTTAATGTTCTTTCTTGTGGCATAGTTGCTATCATTAATCGGTTTTCAGAGGATGAATAAATATTTGTTTCCCATTTTAGATAAACAGAAGATTGAGATGGTTTATTTTAGGTGTTGACTTCACTGGATGAAGGGAAACCTAGTCAGCCAATGAAGCATGATCGCTCCTCTTTCTTGAGGAGATAGGTGTGTGGGTGACAGACCCCAAGGGGAGCTGCAGCCTCGCTTTGGGCAGACACCACCCGTTCAGTTCTGGGCCCAGGCGAACCCAAAGGCTGAGGGAAGGTGAATCCTCTCCTGCTCCTGGAGCTGGCACACCCTTCCTCTCATGTTCGAGGGCCTGAGAACTCCTTAGCATCCAGCTTTCGGAAACTCCAGGACTTGTGCCACAGTCAGACCCCTCATTTCTTGTACCTCCAGTCCCCCGTTGAGAGTCATGGTATAGACATCTTGGTTCTGAGGCCGCCTGATTTAGACAAACTCTATAATTGTGTGAACCAACTATCCTAATAGAATCTATCTATCATCTATCTATCTGTCTATCTATCTATCTACTTATTATCTATCTACTTATCTATCACATCATCTATTGTCAAATCCTCTTAACTCTCCCTGCACAATGTAGGGTAACATAGCTGTTTTGTTGATTATGAAGAACTCTGATTCATACCTTGTGCTGAGCTCCACAAGCACGCTGCTCCACACAGAATGCAGCCAGTGCTGTTGGGATAATTACATATCTTTATGTCAAGTAGTAGTCAAGAGGGAAGCTATGGTAACTGTCTCCTGAGCAGTCAAGCAAAAGATGCGCTTTACAAGCTGCAACAGAAATCCTTCCACTTCCAAAATGCATGTCAAGCCACCCCGTCAGCTTGTCGCTCCCTCTCTGCACGTACTGACCTATTTTCCATTTCTCTGTCACCCAGGAAGATGGCTCTTTCCAACTTCTCATGAGTTCCTGACTGGATTTGTTTACTGTTTGGAGATAAGAGGAAGAGGAACAAAGGCTGCCTGGCTTCGCCCGTCTTTCCACCTTCTATGTCAGGCAATAGCTGCTTCTCTCTATGGCTGCACCTCCCACTGGGTGACTCTTTTCTACTCTTTCACCTTTTACCATGTTCAATAATTTCATTTTGCTCTCCTTGTCTCTTTGGCTTAAAGGAAGGAGTAACGGTGTTCCACCATTACTAATGGCGCTACCATTACCAGCAGCTAGTGTCTGGGCACATCAGCATTTGTTGTTTAATACTGCGGTGCAGCCCACACCTCTCAGGAAAGCTTTCTTCACCTGAGCCACCCGAGGTAGGTTCTGCTAGGTTCTGCTTCTTGCCACAGTCGTAACCAGGAAGGCAATGGACGAGTCTGTGTTGATCTATAGTCAGCAGATTCCACGAAGTTATCCGTGCCCACTCTAATTTAGTTTCTTTGTTTCTCACTTGGATTCATCCCGAGTCCTTTTCCCTGGCACTGTGCCAGTGCTGTCCTGTCAAAGTCACCATGGACACTGGTTAAGGGGAATCTGGAGCTCGGTTCTCCTCTTCCCTGATGGTGGGGCTGCATGGCACAGAGCTGACCATTCCCCTTCTTGTGACGTCTTCTCTTTACTTGTCCTCCTGGATGTCACACCCCCTAAATGGACTGACACCTTCCTAGCCAATCAGCTTAGTCGCCTTGTCTGGATACTCCTGTGATGAAACCCAGGTTGCCATTACAAGACCTGCTTTTTATCCACATTTTCAGGGAATCTGGGAATCTCTCTTCAGCTCAGAAGGCCTCTGGCGCCACATCCAGGTACTTCCTAAACCGCGTGTTACCCCGCTTCTCCCTTCTTCTTTCTCCTTGTGACCTTGGAAATCATAGGTTGAAGATGCAGAAGTGAAAGAAATGGAAGGAAAGCCGCTCACCAATCAGAAACACCCATTTTGAACTTTATTCCCATGAGAAATTAACCACTGATGTTGAACTTTTATTCATTCTTGGCCTTGTTTATTAGAGCAGATAGTGTTACTTGAACATATTCACTCCCTAGTTCCCTGTCCCTTTTTTTTTTTGGTGGAGCCGGGGATTGAACTCAGGCCCTTGTGCTCGGCAGAGAAGCACTTATTCAACTGAGCCATCTCCCCAGCCCCTCCCTGTCCCTTTAGCACAAATGAGGAGGGCTTAGTCCTTGGGTCTCTTCTCCTATACTCTTTCTTTCATGAGCTTGCTCTGTCACAAGCCCAGATGGTTTAAATTTAGAGAGTTCAAAATGCCACATCTGTATCCATACGCCCCATTATTGTGGTTGCTCAGGCTAGAAACTATGAGAGAGAGAGAGACAGAGA